TGATCTTGTTTAGTTGTAGAATTTGGAGGAGGGCATTAAGTTTGGGGGAAGTTGACAATTATCCGCCCCCTCCCCCCCTCCCCCTCCCCCCAAAGCTCTGGTGGTGGAAATATCAACCAACATAGTTGGTAGGGGGGGGCCTACTACTACTACTACTACTACTACTACTACTAGTAACGGTTTCAAAAATGATAGCAATGACAATAGTAGTCGACACACAAATAACTTTAAGAGTAACCGTAGTATTAATAGAAATATGAATGAAACAAATTATTACAATCACAATGCAAGTAAACTCACAAATCGCAATGGCACTAGAAACATTGTCTTTGCAAGCGCTTGTGGGGTTGGCAGGTGCCGCATGAAAGGTTTCCTGGGTTCCAAAGTGTCCCTCTACAAATTTTCCCAGAATTTGTAGCAGCAAATGTAAGGCACATATGATAATGACGGGCTCCCACGGTTCAGAGTGTAGCGGCATCACGGAATGCTGGTGGCTGTGGCTCTTCCAAAGGGAACTTCAAATCTGAAAAGCAAAACGCTCATCAAAATCAGATGGCAAGTTCAAAGAGCGTGGCCCGCCAAATGCAATCTACATGTGTATATACAGATACACATGTATCTAGCCCTCTACACCCCAACGGCCCCAACGGCCCATGAAACTCAGCCGGCGTAACCTTGCGACTCTGACCGGACGCTGGACCCTGATGGCTCTTTCGGCTGGAGCTCCGCCTCCAGAACTTCGAGAGATCATCGGAATCAGAATCATGGGCCCTTCTTGAGTGGATATGAGCCTGTTGCAAAACCCTGGACCCAATCCTTCCAATGTTACTTATGTTTATCGTTGTTGGACTTTCACCTTATCCTTTTGTCGGATTGGGAGACTTTGCATGAAGAACCTTATGACTTCGCAGGATTCGGGGAAGCTCGAGCACATGGCCTGGACTTACGGTTCTTGGCCGCCACCATATCCTGTTACAAGGCGAACGCAAAACTTCAGCGCACGAACTGCGTCCAAGACTATATGACTGTAGGGATTCCATTGTCTGTTGCTCATGTAGAGATGATACGGAGCGCGAATGCAAGGATCGGGACGATTTGCAAGCTTATTGGTTTGAGATTTGCCCTTCTCTGTGCACAGCACGGCTCTTTAGGTGTCTGGTTTCACTGCACTGGAAGATTGCTGGAAATTAGTCATGGTTCCACCTTGTTACTACGAAAAATTGAGTTCCGGGATTGCCGCGCTCTGATGCGGTTCCTTGCTGTGCGGTTCCTTGAAGAACTTCGCAGAACTGACCTTAAGTACTGCTTCCTGCAGGAGACAAGAACGAAGGCTCCTTGTGCTAGAATGCTGCCAGGCGGTTCTGATCAATTAGAGGCTACACAATCCTAGGGATGCTAGCAGCTTAACAGGCTCTTTAGACCCCAGAGCCTTGCAGGCAACACATTACTTCATGGGCTCCGGGCTTGTGTGGAAGCTTGAATATGACCAATGCCTCCCTTGAGGTGGTGACTGACTGAGCCAAAGCCTCAACTGTAAACTAGAGTCCTACCACGCCCAAACACTTAAGAGTCTCAAGCCAAAAATGGACCCCCAAGCCGGAAACTTAAGCACTATGTCCCTGCGGACCTGTGGGCGCAGAGTTTCTCTTTGAACTCCTTGAGGCACCCTCAAGTCATCCGGCCTGATCGCTTGAATTGAGGCTGCAGTTGCGGCTTTGGGCTTCAGGCTGAAAGCTAGGAGCCCAAATCGACCACAATGTACTCTAGTGATTAGTATAGAGACACCCAAAAAGGTCACCCCCCTTATCTCAACGGCCAAATATTCGCCCTGGAATCTTAGACAGTAGGCAAGTTAGCTGGAAGATCCTCGTTGGAAGTCTTGTGCTCAAGAACAAAACTATCGTTTGAAGCCTCTTCATATTAAGCTCCCATTTTGTTTTCCATTCTCTCTATACAGCCCCTATAAACCCCTATATAACCTGTCTTACTTCAAGTTCTATCTCGTTTTCCCGCAAGGCAGGCCACCGAAACGAGAGCTTCAGCTACCGCACGAAAAATGGGCTCCTTAAAGGCTCGCATGAAGTTGGGGAGACCACACCCTAAACCCTAAACGCCTAAACCCTAAACCCTACTTACACAACACCCAAAACCCTGGACTTCTGAAGGTTCAACTCACCCCCTCAACTGTAGACCTTGCTCTGAAGCATACTTTGGGTCCCGCCCCCACCTATTAACAATCTATAAAAGGGGTCATATTAAGGGCCGTATATAGTTATAGCATTTCCAAGGCATACTCCCATGACAGACGTCCATCTCCCTGGATAGAGCCTTTACCTGTCCAAGCCCCAAACACCAATCAATTGGGTACTGCCCCCACCCTGGAACAGTTTATACTAGGGGTCCGTCACCTTAAGTGTGCATACATAACGAAAATGTGAATATTATCAAGCTGTTACAGAGTGGGCGCAGTAC